TACCAAAGGCCAGGGACAAAACCACCGGCCATGTAAAACATTTACCTCATGCTACCTGGGTTACAGGCAAAGGGGAAAGGTTTGACAGAGTAGGGATTTACAGATCTGTGTGAAGTATGACTCTGGGGCACCTGGGTGGCTCAATTGGTTAAGTCTGACTCTTGATTTCCACTCAGGTCATGATCAAGCCCTGTGCCATGCTCTGTGCTGAGCTTGGAGTCTACTTCTGATTCTCTCTTTCCTCTCCCTCTGCCCCATCCCCAGCATGAGAGCGCTCTCTCTCTCTCTCTCTCAAAAAAAAAAAAAAAAAGTGACCCTAATTTAGATAATATTTTATAGCTGTATAAAGTTTAGAAAACACATTTATGTATGTTCTGTCATTCAGTGTTCACAAAATCCTCAAATTAGGTTTTGGCAGGTGTATTATTACCTCCGATTTATAGATGAAGAGCCTGAAGTTGAGGGACTTACCCAGCGTCACACTAATATACGACAGGGACAATATTCAGCTTTTTGGATTCTGGACCACATGAGTGACATGAGCTTTAAAGAGGCTGTACGTGAATGCCACTGCTTAAAACAGTTTGGAACCCACAGGCCTAAAATCGGGGACTTGCCTGCAGATCTAGTTCTAAAAACCCTCAAGGGAGAATACGGATTCTAACTCTGTTATTGTTTGCACATGGTTGTTGACCAAAAAAGGGGATGCCTGTCTTTACCATGCATCTTCCTTACCACAGTGGACCATTTGGGGGCTTCAAAAGAACAATTTAGCAAAGTAGACTTTTCAAAGACATTTTCCCCCAGCCTCCAAGCAAGTGTATGATCTGACTCTCTTGGAGGCCCTCCCAGGCTCTTCAGACCTTAAGTTCACAGACAAAATAAGTGTGAAATCACCTAGAGGTGTGCTGCCACCGCGAAGCCTGAACCTCAGTGAACACCATGGTCTGTGGCAGTTACAGGGTGTCTCCCACTGTATTTGAATGATATGCTTCTACAACTGCCAAACTCTGCAGGGTCAAGGCCTGACCCAACAACTCCTTTCTATCCTCTCTCTGTCCTCCAGCCTTGCCAAGGCCCTGCTTCTGAAGTCGTGTAGAAAAAATTTCCCTGTTCCTCAGTTATTCAGCCTGTTTCTCCAGGAGCCTTATCGAAAGTCTGGCTGAAAGACTAGGAGAAGCTACAATGTAAAACAATCTACAGAAGACTCAGTATGGTTAAGATGTCAATACCACCCAAAGCAATCTACAGATTTAAAACAACCCTTATCAAAGTCCAATGGCACTGGTGTTTTTTTGTTTGTTGAAAAAGAACAAAATTAGAGGTCTCACACTTCCTGATTTAAAAACTTATTACAAAGTCACAGTGATATGAACAGTGTGGGACTGGCATAAAGACAGTCATATAGACTAATGGAATACAATAGAGGACCCAGAAATAAACTCTTACATAGATGGTCAATGATTTTTGACAAAGATGTCAAGACCATTCAGCTGGGGAAAAAACAGTCTTTCCAACAAATAACGTTGGAAAGACCAGATACCCACATACAAAAGAATGAAATTGGACCTTTACTGTGCACCATATACAAAAATTGGTCAAAATGAATTAATGACTGACAGGTAAGAACTAAAGCTATAAAATTCTTAGAGAAAACAGGAGAAAATCTTTACGACATTGGATTTGGCTGTGGTTTCTTGGACATGACATTAAAACACAGGGAATAAAAGCAAAAACAGATAAATTAGACTATATCAAAATAAAAAGCGTCCGTGTATCAGGGTGTCTGTCGGGCTCAGTCAGTGGAACACACAACTCTTGATCTTGGGGTTGTGAGTTCGAGCCCCACCGTGGGTGTGGAGATTACCAAAAAAATAAAAGCTTAAAAAAAACCCCTGTGCATCAACGGACACAATCAATAGAACAAAAGGAAACATATAGAATGGGAGAAAATATTAACAAATCATATATCTGATAAGGGGTTAATATCCAGAATATATAAATAACTCCTACAACTCAATAACAAGAAACCAAACAACCTGATTAAAAAATGGGCAAGGAATGTGACTAGACATTTCTCCGAAGAAGATACATAGATGGCCAACAAGAACAAGAACAGATGGTCAACATAATTCATTTTTAAGAAGATGCAAACCAAGGGGTGCCTGGGTGGCTCAGTGGGTTAAAGTCAATGCCTTTAGCTCCAGTCATGATCCCAGGGTCCTGGGATCCAGCCCCGAATCGGGCTCTCTGCTCAGCAGGGAGTCTGCTTCCTCCTCTCTCCCTGCCTGCCTCTTTGCCTACTTGTGATCTCTGTCTGTCAAATAAATAAATAAAAATCTTAAAAAAAAAAAAAAAGAAGATGCAAACCAAAACCATAATAAGAAATCACCTCATGCCCGTTAAGGTAGGAACTAGCCAACCCCCCAGAAAATAACAGGGGTTGGTGAGGTTGTAGAGAAGCTGCAACCCCCATGCTCTGCTGGTGGGAATGTAAAATGGTGCAGCGGCTGAGGTAGGTGGTGTGTGATAGAATTACCAGACGTTCCAGTGATTACACTTCTGTATCTTTACCCAAAGGAGTTGAAGCAGAGTCCTGAAGAAGAGATTTGTAGGTCCATGTTCATAGCCTTACTTACGATAGCCAACCCAAGTCACTTTTCATGGGTGAATGGATAACCAAAATATTGCTCAACTGTAAAAAGGAAGGAAATTGTAACATGCGCTACAACTTGGATGAGCCTTGAGGCCATGATGCTAAGTGAAATAGGCCAGCCACAAAAGAACAAATTAGGCTGATTCCACCTAGAAGAGGTCCCTAAAATAGTCAGATTCTTAGAGACGGAAAGTAGAATGGTGGCTGCAGGGGCTGAGGGGAGAGAGACAGGGAGTTGTTGTTTAATGGGTATAGAATTCCTGTTTTCCAAGACTTCTTGAGAGTGGTTGCACAACAATGCAAATACACTTAACACTATTGAACTCTACACTTAAAAGTGGTTACAATGTTAACTTTTATGTTATGTGTATTTTAGCATGATATTTAAAGTAAGGATAACATAGGGCACCTGGGTGGCTCAGTCATTAAGTGTCTGCCTTCGGCTCAGGTCATGATCCCAGGGTCCTGGGATGGAGCCCATCAGGCTCCCTGCTTGGTGGGGAGTCTGCTTCTTCCTCTCCCACTCCCCCTGCTTGTGTTCCCTCTCGCTGTGTCTCTCTCTGTCAGATAAATAATAAAATCTTTTTTATTTTATTATTTTATTTTTAAAGGTTTTATTTATTTATTTGTCAGAGAGACAGGCACAGCGAAAGAGGGAACACAAGCAGGGGGAGTGAGAGAGGGAGAAGCAGGCTTCCCGTGGAGGAAGCAGCTCCATGTGGGGCTGGATCCCAGGACGCTGGGACCACGACCTGAGCTGAAGGCAGACGCTTAACGACTGAGCCACCCAGCCAAATAAAACCTTTTTTAAAGAAAGGATAACAATCTTTCGAATAACAAAATTTCGAATACTTTTTGAAAAAAAGTAGTTGATGTATGTTGAAGTTTGAATTTCTTCAAGCGGTTTGTTTTGTGGGGGAAAGCTCAGCGGAATAGTGGATGTGAGCGCCCCCCACTGGGAACTGCCTGGAACCACTAGTCACAGGCTCTGCTACTCGCTCCTGGTTGCCAGAGGCTCCAGAGCTGAGGGCCAGTGCTGGTGGACTCATCCCACTCTTGCCAACTAGGCTGGTGCATTTTTTCTTTGACTCTGGTTGCTAGCAGGAAATGTAGGGGAAGGTGAGCAACTGGCCTTTAAATATTCAGATACTATCTAAGGAAGTTCAATCAAATGGGCTCAGAAGGTCAGACTAATCTCCAGGGAACACACAAGCATGATTCAAGGTTATCCACACTGTAGTGTTAGAGATGGATGGAGATGGGCCCCTGATTCTTCATCCTACCAGCAGTTGTCACTTACCAGCCCTATGACTGTGGGCAAGTCTCTTTGGGCTGAATTCATCACCTTTAACGTGAAGAAAGTACTTCATCTATCTATCTAAAAAAGGTTATTAAAAATATATGAAATGAAATATGAAAATATCTGAAACTAGTCTAAAGAGGTATCTAGATAAATATTAATACTTGTGAGCTCTGGAATCTTTGTTTAATAACTGGGGACAAATATTTCCTGCTTGCTTGGACTTTAGAGGTAAATGGATGTACAGTGTGTAGCAGCACCAGAGTGAGGCAAGAGTAGGTTCAATAAAGGATAGTTATGATGGTTTTTACTTACTACTGTTCCACTGTGAGTGGTCCTGCCCCACCTGCTTCACTAGGAGATGAGGGACTTGGGAGGCTGGATGGTGGGAGGTTGGAGCAGTGCATATACTTCACTTGACTCTGCCTGTCTAGCATCATTTCCCTTGATGGCTTCTAAGGGCATCCCTATTCTTTCTTGGGTAATTTCCCTTCCCTTCCTCAGTCTGCATGCTTCAGGTATGGTGCTCCCTCCTCCCTTTCTCATCCCTAGCCTGGTCTTACCCAATGAATCAGGGTATTCCTAGATATTCCATTATATGCCCTCCCATCTTCCCCTTGGCCACAGTGATTGGTTCAGCAATGGGCTCATGACCTAACCCAGGATAATGAAACATGACCTTGGGTCATCAGCTACCTCCATTGGAAAAGAAAAACACTCTCTCTGAGATCACTTGGATGGTGAAAAAAAGCCTGGAATCCAAGAGATGGAGAAAGGCACAACACAATGGATGAACAAATTTAAATACATGGGTCCAACCAAGTGTGAACCACTTCTGGACATTTTAGTTACTTGAGCCAATAAATCCACTACCATCACCTACCCCACTCTCCTCTTTTTGGTCAGTTTGTGTTGAGTTTTTGCATTTACAACTGTAAGTTTGGTTAATGTAATTAGGAGAGAGATAGACTTTTGAGTTTATCCCCCAACCTCAATGATATCCTTTATTTTCCTTCTGGAAAGATCCCCATAACAACAGCTCACCCTACGTCCGAACTCTTCCCCTTGCTTCACTTCTTGGGGATAGCCGTCAATCAGGAAGCCCTTGGTGTCGCTGAGGCTGGCCAACATGGCCTCCTTCAGGAGCTCCAGAATGATGCCCTGGAGCAGAGAGACAGTGGTCAGGATCTGAGCTCTTCCACAGAACAACACTAGCATTACCACCCATCTCCACTAGTCATCCCATTTTGGGAGGGAGAAAGTTTCATGTAAGATTAATAGCCGACAGAAATATATCATATTTCATTCATCCTTAGTTTCACTTTCCCCCCACATTTTATTGTCTATGAAATTAGTACGTGTCTTACAATCAGTCACAGTTTAATAGCGTTTTTTTCATGCTGGTATAGTTATATATGGAATAGTTTATTAGTTATATTTTACTGGGATGTCTTAAAATAGCATCTTAGAATAGATGAAATATAGTGGCTGTATTTCTTATGGTAACACTCCATAAATTAGGCATAATGGCAGTTTAAAACTAGGCAAAACATGGTATAAAATGTGCTTCTCTGTTGATTTTTTCCAGTAAATATTTTATAAAATTTGATATCCACTGACTTGAGAGAATTGCTAGGGACTGTAGCTATTTGAAGAGGAAGCATAAAGCTTTGGTAGCTAATATGGTCTGCATTGTACAAGCCCTAATTACAGAGCCTAGCAGGGCCCTCATAGGGCAGTGATGAATATTTTTTGCTACCCATGGCATCCAGCGGCTCAGAGGTGAATGGTGACTTGTGAGGAAAAAAGAGGCATAAAAGGGATATTCACTACTTAAACTGTCTAAGGAAGATACCAGATTGCAAGATAATGCTATCTTACTTTCCAGACAAGACCAAAATGTTATTTTCTATTTTCCAGGGGGCTCTAATTATAGACTCTCTTACAGCATGCTCACCTGTGCTTTGAAGGTTTTTTTTTTTTTTTTTTACATTTTTTTTTTTTTTTTTTTTTACAGAGAGAGACCACAAGTAGACAGAGAGGCAGGCGGAGAGAGAGGAGGAAGCAGGCTCCCTGCTGAGCAGAGAGCCCGACGCGGGACTCGATCCCAGGACCCTGAGATCATGACCTGAGCCAAAGGCAGCGGCTTAACCCACTGAGCCACCCAGGCGCCCCTGCTTTGAAGGTTTTAACACTACGTGGGAACCAGTTCCCTGGGAGAATATGAGATAGGTTAACACTCAAGGGGCTGGCAGAGCAACAGGGTGGAAGGAACCTGGGCCGGGACATGGTCTGGCAGACGGGTCTCTGCTGTGGACCCTCCAACTGCCTCTGGACTTTCACATCAGAGGGAAATAAAATGTAGCTATGGTCTTTGGGGGCTTAGACTAACTGCAACACTCCAAAATATCCCCCCACCCCCCGACCCCCTGCCAGGGAAGGCAACTGTTGCTTACTGAGGGCACCAGGTCGCCACGTTCCATGATGTCTCTGATCAGTTTGCTTCTTTCAGATTCTGACGACAGCTCATTACGCAGGAGGTCACCAGTCGAGAGATGTGTCAATCCATATTTTTCCACCAGCTTTCCACACTGTGTGCCTTTGCCAGAGCCTGGGCCACCTAGAAAAGGAGTCCTGTATCAGACACCCATCCCAAGTCACCATGGTGAACAAGCCCATGGACTTTATCCATCCAAGCTCGTATGGAGTATTTATGCTTTACAGGGAGCTGTGTTGGGAGGTGTGGATACCGTGGAGAATGGGGTACATTCCCTGCCCCCGAAGAGTGGGCTGTCCAGGGTGGGGGCTGGGTAAGCATTATACACCCCAACAAGCAGTTAGTAGGTAACTACTGTAGTGGGCAGAGTTCACGTTGCTCCAGGGCACTGAGGAGGGACATGGGACGCTTTGGGTAGAGAAGAAAGAGAAGTTTCCTGGGGAACCGAATATACTCATGTTTAAAGCACTGACCACGGCGCTGGGTACACAGTGAGTGCCCAACAAAGGCTAGCTATTAATTTTTAAAATACATTGTTTTCATTATTAAACAATCCCAAGCACAGAGCAGAGTTATCAGTAGACAATAAAGAACTTTCTGGAATATTTGAGAGTAAGTGGCCAACCTGATCCCTCATCACTACAGAACACTTCAGTTTCATTGCCTCCAGACCAGGAGCCAAGCACGTGCTACTATGTAAATAACTACATCTTCAGAATCCGTTCAGATTTCCATGGATTTATACCAGCCATGTCCTTTGAAGCCAATGGGTCAAGTTCAGAATCACGCATTGCTTTTAGTTGTCAGGTCCTTCTGGTCTCCTTCCACATAGAACGAGTTTTTTTCATGTGGCTTCCACCCTTTCGAAGATTTTATTTATTTTGTATAATGTCCCTCAATATGATTTTTTTCCTGCTGTTTTCTGAATATTATTATTACTTCTGAGTATGAGCCATATTCCTTAGATGAGCCATTACACCCCTGACTCTCTTGCCTTCCCCCACCCCAAGTTCAACCAGTGCTAAGTTGTAAGATTTTACACCTGAAAATAATAGTTAACCTTTATCAGGAGCTTACTGTACCACTCATTGTTCTAAGCATTTTATGTATTAATTTAAAGTAATTTTAAGAGTCAGGTGCTATTTCCCCCTTTTTACAGATGGGGAAGCAGAGGCACAGAGAATTAACTCAACTTTCATAGCCGCCTGGCTAGTAGGTAGCAAGTCAAGGACTTGAAGCCTGGACTCTGGCTCTCAGAGGCATTTCCTCTTCTCTTCCCTGCTAGCCAGGCTGGCCGGTAGGGTGAGCAGGTCCTCAAGAGTCATTCCACCTCTGCATGGGGGAATGGGTGAGGCTCTGGAGTCCAGCAGACCTGTTCGCAGGATGATTTGCCTGAAAAGCACTGACGCTTCACAGCTCCAGAGCATTCAGTGACTTTCCAGTCCCCGCAGGATAAGATCCAAACTCCTTAGAGGGGCATTTCAACCTTCCAGAATCTAGTTTAACCTCTCCAGCTCTTCTTTTTTTGTGTGTGTCTTATCCCCGCCCAACACTGTCATGTCCAGCTACATCCTGTCCTTGCAACAAGATGTAACTTTTCCAAGCCACCATGTGTTTGCTCTCCCAGATTCCCTCCTCCTCTAACTATTGAGATCCTCATCATCTCTTCGGCTTCCGTCAAACGCTTGCCTCTTCCACCAGGAAGTCCCCCTCTGTGAGAGTGAGTGGTTCTGACAGCACGTCGGTGCCCTCAGCCTGTCTGCCACTTGGCCTCCAGGTCCCTCCCTAGTATCGCCCCGGGCACACGTTGGTTTTTTCTTTTTTTTTTTTTTTTTTTTTTAAGATTTGACACACAGAGATCACAAGTAGGCACAGAAGCAGTCAGAGAGAGAGAGGGGAAGCAGGCTCCCCGCTGAGCAGAGAGCCCGATGTGGGGCTTGATCCCAGGACCCTGAGATCATGACCTGAGCCGAAGGCAGAGGCTTAAGCCACTGAGCCACCCAGGTGCCCCTACAGTAGGTGTTTCCTAAGTGCCTGATGAACTGAAGTTTTCCCTGTTAGAGGGAATTCTGAACATTAAAATGAGAACATGGAAGGGACGTTAGCATGGTAGTGAGGATTTATGACTTATTTCGCCATTTCTCTGGTTCGTCTCTCTTCATATTCAAAACCCCTTTCTCAAGACACTTAGCAGCTTCCCTCCTGAGGGAAACTTAGCTGTTGTTCCTTATTAGTAGAAGGGCCTCGCCTTCTCTCTCCTTTGCCTTGGCCAAAAAATGAAGGAAAGGTGCCTGTTTGTCTACCTCTCACCCACGCAGCTGCTGTCAGCTACGTGGGGAGGGCTCAGTCGCCTCACAGGATTGTCATGGATGGGCTAGAGATAACAGGACAATGGCAATTACAGAGGCTCCCAAGAAGGACGCAGACCGCTCAGGAGGAGCAGCTGGTCCCCAGCCAGTGTCACGCTTGTCCTGAGCACTAGGACTCATCTCCCACAATAACAGAAACGGAGGGATAGTACGGGAACAAGAGAAGGCCACTCAGGCAAGAAGTGCTTCCAGATAAAAGAGTAAGGACAAGGGTGGGCTGAGCCCCTGCAGAAGCCTCCAGGGCTTCTGTGGCCAGATTTACCTAGAAACCCTTTTCTTGGGATGGCTGGAAGCCAGTCATGTGGAAAAAGTATTTTCAGACTCGGCTTACAAGGCAAAAATGCTGCGTTCCAATGACTTTCTTCTTTCAGCACTCCACTAATGCGACTATTACAGTTTTTGTTCCTCTGAAATGTTATTTAATAAATTTTGACACAAAGGCAATTAAAAATCTTCAGCTCAAATTAACAACAGCTGTGTGTTCAACGGCAGCCCCTGCCCCAGTTAGGAACCTTTTGTGGAGCAACAGCTGCAAATTCTCAGCATTCTTTGGCCAAATGGTGCAGGCACAGTGGAATTTTAAGTAATCTACACAATGCCTTGATTCTTCCCATGGCTCCAAACTGGAGAACAAAGTGATTTTTATCACTGCGGTGAAGGCACAAAAACTGCAAATAGAAATACGGATTTTCATATAATGTCACTTGCACGTCTTTGAGGCCTTATGAATTTTTATTTTTTTATTATTTTTTAAAGATTTTATTTATTTATTTGACAGAGAGAGAACACAAGCAGGCAGAGAGGCAGGCAGAGAGAGAGGGAAGCAGGGTCCCTGCTGAGCAGAGAGCCCGATGCGGGGCTCGATCCCAGGACCCTGAGATCATGACCTGAGCCGAAGGCAGAGGCTTTAACCCACTGAGCCATCCAGGCGCCCCCCCTTATGACTTTTTAAATAAAAAACAGTGGGGCCTTGATATCCCTCCTGGATAATTAGTTATAACGAAGAAAATCTTCTGAGGTACCACGAATCAGAACAAGTGGGCTGTGCTCTCTGGTGACAAGATGACAGATAGCAGATGAGGGGCTGTCACACTTCCTGTCATCTCACGGACTTCTGGTGGATCATTACTCAAGGCTCTAAGCCCTGAGCGACCCTAGATGCAATATCGCCTGGTGTCATTCACATAGTGTCTGCGATATGAGATCCTGTTTTGAAGGGGTCGTCAACACGTCGAAAGAAAAAAAAATGTTGAGAAACTTTTTTCTCAACCTCCAATATAATTTATATTTTTTTCCATGGAAAGACTGACATGCTCTATGGTGCAACCGAAGTACTGGGAGCTCTCACGTCACAGCTCAGTAGGTATCTCCCCCCACCCCCGGCCCCCCCAGGTTCCAACAGCGCTATACAGGAGGAGGCCTGCAGAAGGAGAGCTGTCAACCCAGGGGTCCCTGTTCTTTGAGGTGGAGCTGAAATGAAGCTGCATCACCTCCACGTGCCTATCTGGGCCCCGTTCCGCAGTGTGCTCTTTATTTCCAGGAGCCCTCCCCTCCCAGGAGGCAGCTCCTGGATCCATCAGTCAAGCCCCTCTTAGGAGCCAATTCCTGGCCTCACTGGCCGGCCCCACAAGAGAGCGCCTGCCTCCAAAGCAGCTATTGCATGTTGCTCGGTGCCAGGGTGGGATGGCAAACCTTAGGGGGTGGGGCAGCACGTTCTGGGCTCAGAGAGAAAAGACCAAACAAATCATGTCAGGAGAAGAATTAGCTGAACCCCAAATTCAAACAAATGCAAGTATGCAAGTTTCTATCCCACTTTTATCTTTAAATATTTCAAATAGGAATGGCATAAAGCAGGTTACAATGTCCTCTGTGGACACTGAATCCAGCATCACAGCAATGAGCTAAGCCTAGGAGCGGGGTCCGTAAACACTGGGAGGGACTCTTCGCCCCAGCAGGAATCCCTCCTTCTATCGGTCTACCAACTACTTAAGGTCTGTCTTCCATATTGGACTCGGTGGTTCACAAGCACAGGCTATGGTTATGCTTTGCTCACTTGGGTACCCAAACACAGTGTCTGAAGAGACACCTCATAATTGTGGCTGAAAGAATGAATTATTTTTATTTTATTTTATTGTTTTAACTTCAGGATAGTTAATATACAGAGTTATGTTAGTTTCAGGTGTACACTATAGTGACTCAACACTTCCACACATAACCCAGTGCTCGTCATGACAAGTGCACTCCTTGGTCCCCATGACCTATTTCACCCATCTTCCCCAATAATAAATTATTTTTGATTTATGCTGAAAGGATCCTTTCCTTCTTCCTGCTCCAAAAACTTGCTCCTCTTTCTTGTCCACATGAATGTACTCCTCTCAGTTGACACCATCTTATCTCTCTTCAGCGTAATAAGAGGCTGGTTTCTTTCCAATCCAAAGGAAAATATTTCTACCATTGTCTGCATCCTCTAGTTATTTTCATTTTCTTTCCTATTTTTTTTCGGTATTCTAAAACTGCCTGTTTGCACTTCCCTCTCTTTCATTGACTCCCTGTCCTCTTGCAAGCCACATCCTGCTCTCATCACTCTCCGAAGTCGATCTTTTAGAGTTCAAGAGTGGTTGTGTAACTGTCATATAATTTAATGACCTTCTTTTGGTCTTTATTATTTTTGTCCCTTTAATACCATTGATAAACATCTTGGAATTTGCTCTTCCGCTGGCTTCCAGGACATGTACTTTGCCCACATTCTCTTCC